TTCAAGATGAGTCGAAGTGAGCGGCGCTGCGCTAGGTAAACCATTTGCGAACGCGCAGTGTAAATAAAGTCCTGTCACCAGACTCTGTGATCAAACTTTCGTTCTATGTCCATATCACGAACGACTATCGCTTCCCTTTCGAGCTCGTGTTACTCCACCAGACCCAAAATCTCAACCACAGTGCGAAGATGCCCGCCATACGTCTGACTCTCGCATCAAATGCAAACCAATCAACGAAATGCCCAATCCTTATACCCGCTTCCGCGTCCACTAACCCCACAGCTTCGTCTTCTGTCCGAGCGCTTGTCTTCAAGAGTGCGCAGGCAAAACTGCGTGTAAAGAAACCTACTCGTGTCTTTGTCGGACGCAGCGGGCAAGAGCTTGTATCTGAAGCAGATTGGAAGAGCAACATTAATAACGATGTCGTATTGCTCGTCTCAGCGGGAGAAGACTATGTTGGTGCGAGGAAAGTATCAGGGGTGCATGGTAAGTAGCACTGACGTTTGAGCAAGTTTGCGCTCAATATCTGTGCTTATCCCCTTCCGTATTACGATCAATTACTGACACAATATAATAGCCGACGCAAATCCACAGTGCCCAGTTGAAATATTAGCATCTGAAGCAACCCTCATTGAACCGCTAGCTTTAACTCAGCTTAAGACCACCGCGCGCACGCTTCCGGGTATCGTACACGCCGTTGGTCAACCCGATCTCCACCCAGGCACCAAGTTCCCCATCGGCGCAGTCTTTGCTTCGAAGGGATGGATCCATCCTCCTCTCATCGGTGGCGATATCGGATGTGGTATGGCCTGGTACAAAACAAAACTCAACAGAAGCCAGGTTGATGGGAACAAAGGCAAGAATGTTGCTAATCAGCTTCGAGGACTAGAGGGTGCCTGGCGCAACCAAGCCTACCGAGAGAAATGGCTGTTGGACGAAGACAACTGTAGCATCTCCGCCGGTGAACAGTGGGACGCTGCTCTGGGCACCATAGGAGCTGGGAATCACTTTGCCGAGATCCAGGTCGTCGAGGAATCGGGATTTGCCAAATCGGACGATGGACTCCATCAAGATGATGTCGTCCTGCTGGTCCACTCGGGATCACGAGGACTAGGAGGCAGCATTCTCAAGAAGCACACAACCGACTCACGCACAAGCTTCCCAGACGATAGCGAGGATGCCAATGCATACCTGGAAGAGCACAACAAGGCCTGCGAGTGGGCGAAGGCGAACCGGGATCTGATTGCCCTGCGGTTCCTTGCATGTCTTGAGCCTGGCAATGAAGACTGGCAGCTGGGCGACTCGAACGCAAGCGACTTCGGCGAAGAGGGCATAACGATGATCGCGACAGCCAAAGCGGCACTGAGGAAGCGCAAGGTAGTTGACATCTGGCACAACAACGTCGAATGTGTAGCATGGCCTCCACCTGTCCCTTCTTCAGCTGCGGAGGAACCTACGCCTGAACTTAGTCTGACCGAGGGGCTGGACAAGATGGCACTTGGCGATGAAAACACTCCAAGAGAATACGTCTTTCTCCATAGAAAAGGCGCAGCCCCGACATACGACCCCAAAACTCAGTTGCCGCTCAGTCTCCTTCCACTGCCCGGTTCCCGGAGCACCGCCACGCTCATCCTCCAGCCAACATTCTCGGAAGCCAACTCATGGGGTCTTAAAAACAGACTTTCGCTGGCCCATGGCGCAGGACGAGCCATGTCTCGGGCAAAGGCTCTCCAGACCTTGGGTAAGAAGTACAAAGGCATTAACATCTTGGAGCCGAATGCAGAAAACCCAGAAGGCACGTGGGTCATATGTGACGAGAAGGATCTTGTCTTCGAAGAGGCTCCATGGGCATACAAAACCGTTCAGGATGTCGCAGCGGATCTGGTCGCTGCCGGTGCAGCGAAAATAATCGGTTGGTGCTGTCCTAGAGTCAGCTACAAGGTTCGGAAAGAATTGGATCTACTGAGGTAGCCCCATCCTCGATGCGCTAAATTTACGTGGAACAGATCGTTCTCCACCGGGCATGCCGCGATCCGTATGGATGCCGGTATTTGAGTAAGAAGGGTACCCAAGCGTCCTGCGCAATATGCGAAAGAGTAATGATGAGTATGTAATTTCGATGTTTCCATATCACTCTGCATCAGATAGATGCAGCAACCCTGTCTTTTCCCACTTCAACCGCTTCTCGTCAATTTCCTCTGCTTCCCACGCCTCCTCCTTCTACATCATCTCATCTCATCTCGATCTCGAGTCACACCCGTCTTTGCCGTGCCGTGCAACCTTGTCCACCGCCTCTCTGCCTCAGTAAAACACAGGAAATCGCATCTGATACACCCGCGCCAGGAACGCATGTTTGGTCTATTTGCGTCGATAAGCGCGACAACGAGAGTTTTGTGTGGAATGTTTGTTCCCTTGGGGACTCGGCTAGTGGAAAGGGTGCAACACGCAAGCGCCATGCCACTGTATGGGGTAAATTTGGATCTGTACCAAGACTGTTAGATCCGACTAGCGCTGCAGTAGCCAAAGCTTGGTATTTTGGCGGCAGAAAGGACATCTGCGACAGCCTGACCCTCTCTTCCTCAGAGTATCTGCATCAGCAAGCGACGACACGACAAAAACACTGCAACTCTTCATAGCCTCCAGCCTACGTGGCATTATGACTCTTACTTCCCAGCCCCAAGATGTAGCCCCCATTGGCGCATACAGAAAACTGAGCTGGCTGGGGCCAAGTCTGACAAACTCCACACCAGGCTCAGCCCTGGCCTCAGGAACAAGGCCCGCCCCCGCAATGATTGGCCGGCAAAGCGCCCATGCGTCTTGGTGTTTCGAAACGGCGAAGCGGGCGCGCATCCTTTAGCGCAAAAACGGCAAACAACACCTGGTTTCATGCAATAACGAAGGCAGTCTTTGTTCGCGGCGGCCAATCAGCCGGAGCGAACCGGCAGAAAAGAGGGTTCCGTAGTGGGTTTGCGTGCAAGTGACGGCGCGCAAGGCTTTGCGGGAAATGGGCGTTGGATCAGATGGATGCGTGATGGGAGTTTCTTGGTGTGTGACGCCCCAACCACCGGTGCATGGTGCCTGCTGCGCCTCTACCCGGCAGGAAAGATTATATAGTGTTTGCCAGCCGCCAGCTTCCTGAGGAATCATCCCTTTTGCAAGCAAGCCCCCTTCACTGGTTTTTCCTACAGTTCATTGTCTGCCAACAGAGTCTTTCGCTTTGCTTATCAGCGTTCGCTATAATATTCGGTATGTAATCACAGTCCCTCGAGCGGTTTGCGCTTTTCCCCATTCCTATTCCATTCCTACCCGGGTGCGTCCGTGGAACTTTCCGTTTGCATATTCGTTCGACAAGGTTCTATCGCGCTTTCCCCTCTCGCACTTCAATTGCGCGGATCTCATATAAACACACTTGGCGCCTCCACTTCATTTCCCTGATCACTCAGTTACTACTCTTCCTCTCCACCTGCACTCGCTAAACAATTCCCACAGTCGAGTCTCAACTTCATTCTTTCACAAGAAACCACCAGCCACACATTCAAAATGCTTGTCTCAATCATCTCTGTTCTGGCCGCGGCCACCGCTGTCGCCGCCCAAGGCACTCCCGCTCCCGTCGTAATGGGCAACCCCATAGGTGCCAAGTACGTCGGTACTCTCCCCGCCAAGGAGGGCAGCGCTCTCACCGGATCCATCGAGGCCACCACCGGCGCCGACGGCAAGGGCGTCAAGTTCCAGGTCTCCTTCGCTGGCCTTCCCGAGACTGGCGGTCCTTTCATGTACCACCTCCACGCCAAGCCTGTTCCTTCTGACGGCAACTGCACTGGTACCGGCGCTCATCTGGACCCGTACATGCGCGGCGAGGCTCCTCCCTGCGATGCCACCAAGCCTGAGACCTGCCAGACTGGTGACTTGAGCGGCAAGTACGGAAACGCTACTGAGACCACTTTCTCGGCTGAGTACACCGACTTGTACTCTGCTACTCTGCCCTCTGACCCTGCTTTCGTAAGTTTCGCTCATACCCTATAAGTTGGAAACCCAATTTGCTCATACATCACAGTTCGGCGCCCTGTCCTTCGTTGTCCACCTCAGCAACAAGACCCGTATCGGCTGCGCCAACTTCACCATGGTCTCTGCTGGCGAGGGTGAGGGCTATCCAGCTGCCTCTTCCTCTGCTGCCATGTCTTCCGCCCCAGCCATGTCCTCTGGATACGCCATGCCTCCTACCACTGCCTCATCTGGCTTCGCCATGCCATCCGGCTCGCCTGCTTACAACGCCACCAGCACTGGCATGATGTCGCCCACCACCGGCATGCTCATCCCTCCCAGTTCGGCCTCCGCCTCAGCCCCAGCTGAGTTCAGCGGCGCCGCCGTCAAGGTCGCTGGTGGCGCTGGTGCTCTGCTCGCCGCCGCTGCCGCGCTCGTCTTGTAAATGAGCAACATCCGTGCTTAGATGGGAGCATAGGTGCATCATGGAGTTTTCTTCTTTTTCTTCTTTTCAATGTCATTGATACCAGATGGGTCGCTAGATCGGCTTCATCGCTTCTTTTCGCCAGACACGCGAGGGTCCATTACTTTGGTACCCTTTTTTCGCATGTGTATAGGGTCATGTTCACGGGGTCACTTCTTCAATAATGTAGTTTGATAATGGGCTAGATATGAGAATGTCACAGATTTGCAAATACTGTTCTTGCGTCTTAGGTTGTCTCCGGTGAATGTTCTGACGTAACTTCATCAGGGCGCTTCTGTGACAATGTATATATATGTTAGCGTGCGTGAAAACACTGTGCAATATCACTCAGATTGATCAATGGGAGATGGTGACGTTGGTGACTTGCTCAATTGCAGTCGATGGCCATTTGGCTCATATTCATGTGTAGTACATGAGGGTATCATTCCCCGTCCACGTGTCAACCTCCATCTCGTATCCTACTCGTCCAAAGCTATACAGTAAAGCATGCGCAACTCGAAGTGAGAGCTGTCCAAGCCTTGGCTTTGACAGGTGGTTACTCTGAATCGCTGTCAGGAATATCGCCACGGCCAGACTTCTTGAAGCGCGGCTTGTCCTCGGCAAGCATAAGCTCTTGATCGCGCCCTTCGTATCTCTTGCCGCCGAATTTCCAGGCCACAAACTTCTCTGCGTCCTCGAACTCCTTGAAGCGGACGGTGACAATGCCCTCAGGTTCCAAGTCCCAAATCGTGACCTTGGTGACTTCGCCGATCGCCTTAGCGGGTTCCATCGTATCATCGAAGACATCGCCATAGTTATCCGGGTCGTTCTTCATCACGTCCACGTCGAACATGCCCTTGATGATGACGGTCTTCGCCCACTTGTTCTTCTTGGCCACGAAGGTTTGGGCAACCTCTTCCTCGTTGTCGGACCACTCGTTGAGCTTTCTATATCTCTATTAGTAACAGATTGAGGATAACCAGACTGGCGAACTTACCGGTTGAGCTCTTGCCTGTTACGTTCTGACGCCTTACGATCAGAACGTGTCAGCTTCGATGCCACCTTATCGCCATCCTTCTCCTTCTTGTAGTCCATGCTGGCAGGCTCAACGCGGATGTTGCCGTGCTTGGTTTCGCCAAGGCGCAGAGGGTAGTCATCCGCAAGCTTGACGGCATTGACGATCGCCTCTTTCTTGAAGTATACGATCATGGCAGTGCCGTTGAACTTGCCCTCATCATCCTTGTAAAGATTGATGCGAGGCTCGCCGTTGGCGCCCTTGTCGATCATGCCGTATCGTGAGAACTCTTCCTCGAGCTCCGTCTTCGTGGTGTCGAGCGGCAGGTTGGAGATCCAGATGGCCTTGTTTTCCATGACCTTGGCTTTCTTGTTTGTCTGTCTCATGTTAGCGATTGATCTAAACGCTTGAGACGTTACTAACCTCGGGTTCCTTCTCGGCCTTGCGCTTCTTGGTGGTCTGCGGCTCTGGCGGTGTGCGATCAGCGGGTGCCGACGGAGAGCGTGAGACAGCCTCACGACCCCCCATGAAGTCGTCTAGGTCTGTAGCGTAACTGGACATGTTGAGTTAGAATATGTCACGGCACAAGTTCGCGCCAAATGAGGTTCGGCAACAGGTTCAGCAACGGCTTCAACTGATCAAGGTGCACGTTGGTGAGACGCGCAACTTGTTGTTGTTGTGGTGGAGAGGAGCTCGAGTCGTTGGCGGCAGAAATATTGGGCGGTAAGGTCTGTTTGCGGGACAACGGGCGCTACGGCGTTGATGTTTCTCCGGTGCCGGTAGCAACAAGGGCTGTTGCCTAGCGAAGAAGAGAACTCAGGGCGCTGGGAGTGATGACAGCAGCCTTGGAGGTCGCTGTTGGAGACGCCATGGTTCGTTAGTCTTTCTGAAGGGCAAGCCTTCTAATGCCGCCATGCTCTTTCGGAGGGCGCGGATGAACCTACACAGCGCTGTGCGAGATGTATAGGAGCTCAGAGGCGAGTGAGGTTTGTTGTGCTGACCAGGTGAGGTTTGTGGAAGAGGAGGAGAGGGATGACGATGGCAGGACCGATAGAGTCGCGGAGTGGTGCATGCAGGACGCCGGCGAATTCCCGCCTAGCGCCGTCAGGGTAAGCTTTAAGCTTCGATCGCAGCAGCCTTAGCCCCGCATGTGCCGACTCAGTGATCACGGTAAAACGCCCATCCGAGGCATGCAATGTAGGACACACGAGACACTCCGTACGCAAGAGGAAACCCTCGAAGATCACTGCGCCCCACCGCCGAGTATATATAGGCGGATCATGTAGCCGCAAGATTCCAGTATTTCTCCCTGTTCCTGCTCTTGCGACTGTTGCGCACAGCAAAACTGATACACCATGTCTTTAGTCGATATCCTACTCAGACCCAATATGCGGGACCCGCTTCCTGCGCCCTCGCTGCTCGTGCAGTCTAGCAAGTCGTTCGCCGACAAGCTGAGCCTGACGACGCTTCCGTACCACGTCCACGAGATTCTCCTCGGCTTCCTGGGCTACCATCTCATCCTCCATGTCCTGTCTCCGGCCGTTTCGCGACTCGTCTGCCCGAATGTATACAAGAGCTTCAACAAGCGCACGCGACTCAACTGGGACATCCACTGGGTCTCTATGATCCAAGCGCTATTCATCTGCGCCGCTGCGCTGTGGGTCATCTTCAAGGATGAGCAGAGACACGAGATGGACTGGAGGGGCAGACTGTGGGGATATACGCCAGCTAGCGGTATGGTGCAGGGATTCGCAGCTGGGTACTTCCTATGGGATCTCCAAGTGTCCGCGCAATACATCAACATTGCTGGCGTAAGCTCTTTGATCCATGCGATCGGTGCTTTGGCCGTGACCTGCATTGGATTCGTAAGCTCTTTGCTTCTCCAAGGTACCGCACATACTGACTGTCTTCTAGAAACCCTTCGGAAACTACTATGGCCTATCCTTCGTCCTCTACGAACTCTCCACCCCGTTCCTCAACGTCCACTGGTTTTGCGACAAGCTCGGAATGACTGGCTCAAAGCTCCAGCTCTACAACGGCATCGCCCTCCTCGTTACCTTCTTCGGCTGTCGCATCGTCTGGGGTTCATACCAGTCTGTCATGATCTACTCGGACATCTACAAGGCGCTCACTATGCCCAAGCCCGAACTCATGAGCTCTCTGCTCGAGGCCCAGAAGTGCGACGGAACCTCCAACAGCAGCATGGGTCTCGATGGACCTGGAAACTGCACAGCTGGCGAGCTGCCCATGTGGCTGGTCTGTGTATACTTGGTGGGCAACACGGCGTTGAGCATGCTCAACTTCTTCTGGTTCTCGCAGATGATCAAGGCTGTTAGGAAGAGGTTTGTACCTGCCGAGGAGACCAAGGCCAAGAAGAGCCAATAAGCGTCCTTCTTGACGAATGATGGGATGGGATCAAGAATGCGCAAGTGTCTGGAATGGCGTTCTTGGAGTCGCAGGATGAATGTAATGGATGGACAGGGAAAGAGTGATGATACCCAGCGTTCTTTGAACAGTTTCTCAAAGTTGATGATACTGAATATGAATTATGCGCTTCAACAGCAGCAATGACGAGCTCGACGATTCTGATATATCCACCCATCCATGCCAAGAACGAATCGAATGAAATACTCCCCATGACCTCTCATAACTTCGCACTCGCAGTACCCATTTTCTCCACCTCCTCCCTCAACACCCTCCTCATCTCCCCCGCCATCTTAGCCCCCTCCTCATCATCCAAATCATCCCTCTGACCCCGTCCAAACATAGTCCAACTCTTATTCTTGATCTCCGGCATCGTCTCCGGACGCGGGATGATGTGGAAATGTACATGAGGTACTACTTGTGCTGCACGTGCTCCTGCAAGTACATATTAGAATACGAGGAGATGGAAAAGAAGCAAGAAACATACCGTTATTCTGCACGATATTGTAATCCGTCACGCCCGTTACTTTAGCCACCGTCCGTGCTAGTATCGGTAACCAGAAACCTAGTCACATAGTCAGTATATCACTCTTCTTCTACCCAAAAGATTCGTTTCCTAACGTACCAATCTCCCTACTCTCCACAGCCTCCATATCCGCAACCTTGACCTTATGCTGACGCGTAGTAACAAGCAAATGGCCTCCCGTCATCGGCAAGATATCCAGAAAAGCAACGACATCCCTACTCCTCAGCACCACAAAACTACTCGGACTCGTTTTCTCTGGATCGCTCTCCTCCTCTTTTGGTATACTCTCTTTTAACAAGTCTTGTTCTAGGGTACTGCTGCTCTTCCATAGAGAGGGAGTGGGCGGTGGACTGCTCGGGGAAATAGACGAGGGTGATGATGAGGGGAAGGGGAAGGCGGCGGCGATGGTGCAGAAGGGGCAGGTTTGGGGTGGGTAGTGGAGGTCCGTTTCTTGCATGGCTGCGTTGGTGGGAGTGTTGGTTGGTTGCTAGGAGCGTTGGTTGTGCTGGTTTGTGGGGATGTAGTAGTCGGAACGGTGAATAGTAATTGATGGATGTTGATGATAATTGATGAACGGGTGCTGACGATGCCGTTTGTTGATATGGATATTCACGTCTTGTTCCGGTAGGTAGGTGAAGGGCCGGTAACGCTGTCCAGATAACGCAGGTGCAAGTCGTTGTGGCAGCACAATTCACAACCTCCACTAACTCAAACGTCTTCAAAATCGAACAAAAAAGACGACGAAAGATAAAAACGATAATCAGGGTCTTCCCCGTATTGATGATCGATCAACACGCAATCAACGCGCAAAGCTGTGGTCGCAGTGCATCCAGGTGAGCTCCGTATTCAGATTAGCGCCGATGTCGACGTGAATTGCCGAGGCACATTGATCGCGGGAACGCGACATGGCCGGGCTGGGCTGGGCACGTCTGCATCGCGATCGTGGAGCGGCAACGCGGGCGCGTGTTGGTGTCAATGCACGCAGAACGCGAGAAAGCAAGGAAAATGTGGCGTCTGAACACGGTCGTGACGTATCGTGTATTTTACGAGTCTTCGACGCGCGACGCGATGCGCTTCTTCGTGTTTAGGTGTGGGTCTTTGCATGAGATGGCTGGGGAAGGATGGCTAACAGCATGTATGGCATCATCGTGCAATGTCAGAGTAAAGTCACGTCACGTCAGACGAAAGCGAGGCTCATTGAAATTTCTGTCTCCATTTGACGCGAAACAGTGCGTTTTCAGACTATTCATACACTCTGAGAGCTGCCTCACATTTGCTATCCCAATGACCCATATTTCCCACAGACACCACATGCAGATCCACCAAGGAATAGCCTCTCCCATATCACACCATTCATGGTATATCGATCGCTAATGCTATGAGCGAGTATCCAGAGCCGCTACAGAGAAATGAAGTTAAGAGTGATGTGAAAAGGCAAGCACCCTTGATTTGCGCCTCCGTGCATGGGGGATGAACTCCTGCGACTCCATGTTCCAAAACAAGACAAGAGAAACCATAACAGAATTGTGCAACCAACTTGCATCCCATGTATTAACGCCGACCGGAAGATGGTATTAGCCAAATTGTAAACATGAAGGGGTTGGCTTGGATGCAATCGTAAATTTTGCTCCCGGTCGAACCGAACATCGTCATCCGCTGCTCAGTGAGCATGGCGGTAATGAATAGCTTTGCGACTCCTGAGCCAAAGACCGGGAGTGCCTAAAGAAGGAGAACAGTCTTAGCGCTGGCTCTTGGTCTTGGAGGGGACAATGGCGGCCTCCTCCTCCTCTTCTTGGAGCGCGTTACCGTAGGCAGCGACGTAGTCCTTTGCCCACTTGCGTAGAACGATGGATGCTGGTGAATGTTAGTTGTGAACGACAGACTGGAGTATGCGATGACTTACCCTTCAAGAACTTCTTGCTAGCATACTTCTTAAAGAAGGCCTCGTGAATGACAGGGCTGGAGAGGTAGTCGATCATCAGCTGCAGGACAGGCTGGATCTCCTCCTCGCTGTAGCCGGCGTAGTGTGTGAGGGTCTCGTCCCAAGGGCCACGCTCGAGGACGAGGCGGGCAAGGTACATGGCAGCGGCAGCGACTTGGCTGGGGGGGTAGGCGAGGAAGCGGTGATCCAGGCAGCCGATCTCGAGGAGGTACTTGCCCAGTGTGCGGGTCTGGATGTCGTAGTTGTCGGCCTTTGATATCCGGCGGAGGAAGTTCATGGGGTTGGGGTAGCTCAGGTCGTAGTTGAGGGCAGCGAGGACGAAACGCTCGGCGCTGAGGATCTCCTCCTCGGTGAAGCCATCATCGGCGACGTGACGGAAGTTCTGGACGTGGGGAGAGAGGACCTCCTCGTACTTGGACGCGATGAACATGGCGGTGACACCAACCAACTGAAGACGGTCAAGCTGGACGATCTTGGCTGAGAGGAAGCGGTCGATGATGTTGACAGCAAGGAAGAGAGTCTCCGGGAGGAGGCGGAAGCGAGTGTGAACTTCGAGTAACCAGTCGACGAGAATACCGCGCATCTTCCACTCAAGCTCAGTCTGGGACTCCATATAGTCCGGGTTGGCCATGGTCGCAATCTCTAGCTCCTTGAGGTACTCAAAGATCTCAACAACGTACTCGGAAACCATCAATGGGTCATCGACGTCCTCCTTGTCTAGGTCTGGGCCCTTGTAGAAGACCTCTGTGATGGGCTCGAGCTCCTTCTTGGTGCCGTTGGCAGCCTTGGTGTCCTTCTCCTCGGTAACGTTCTCCTCTGGGACAACGTTCTCAGCCTCCTCTTCATCTTCCTCCTTGAGCTCCTCCTCGGGGTCCTCTTCCTTGACGGTCTTGGTAATTTGCATTCGCTTCTTGGCTGGTTGGCCGGCGATACCGTTGCCGCTGGCACCGCGCTTCTTCACCTCGGATGACGCGAGGTTCTTCTCCTTGGGTTCTAACATGGAACGCGTCGAGTTGGCCCGCGATGGCTTCTTGATGCCGGTGGGCTGTGCTGCTTTGGAGACTGCGCCCTTGGTGGCCAGGACCTTCTTTCCATCCTTCGCGACAGCACCGAGGCCATCGGTCTTGGTGACATTGCTGACGTCACCGAGGGCAGCACGCTTACGCGTGGCAGCACCGTTCGCGCCTAGAGTAGCAGTAGACTTCTTCGCCTGGAGAGTCTTCTTGGGCACGTCGGCAGCAGACTCGTTGGCGCCGAGGTTGGCGGCCTTTGCACGCGTCAAGCGTGTCGTAGCCGCGTTCTCATCGTTCTCGTTGGTGACGGCGCGCTGCCTGAGAGATCGAGCCTGTAACACGCGTTAGTAGAGTGAATCGTGATGGACGTGTTGCTTCGCGCCGATGGGAGATGGGACGAGAGCAGGTGGGACGAGAGCAGGTGAAAGGGCGACGACGTACAGCGGGAGGCATTGCAAGCAATATTATGTATGCTGATCAAGGCTAGAGAGGTATCCTGGTGCTGAGTATATCTGGAGAGTGGAATGGCGGCTGTAGGACTTGTTTTGATACACTGTTTTGAGGTGTCAGCAGAGCTCGGTGAAGCTTGAAAAAGCGCGCGTAGAGGCTGCCAACGCGGGAGCATCAAGAGCCGCGGTGTGCATGCAGCGATGTCGCATACAGAACCACGGTTGATGCTCGCGAAAGCTGGCCGGACTGACACGCCCGATGGGGTGCGGCAGCGACGGTGACGTGACGGGCGAGAGAGACGAACCCTTGGAGCGCTCGGTGCGTGGTAATTGAGTGGACAGGGTAAAGGTCCAGCTGCAATTAATCGTGAGAGGGAGTGTGGAGGATGGGGGAGGGCGAGAGAGGATGTGCACCAAGGTGTGTTGTGGGTAGGAAGAGAGGTATGTTGTGTGTTTTGAGCGAGGGCAGGCTAGCTTGGCTTCCACGTCCCACGCGCCAAAATCGCATTCGAGGCTGGCAGAGGGCAACAGTGCACGCCCCACAGGCGCGTCAGTGGACTTACCAGAGATGACACCAGGCCCCAACGCGTAAACTTTGCCCGTGCAGTAAGATGGGTCGCGGGCGAGCAGCTGGGCTGTGAGATGGGGGTTCTGGCAAGTGCAGCGTAAAGATGGCGAAGACGACGAGCGTGTTGTGGTGGGCGAGGAAGCAGACACACGTTGTTGCTGGGACATCGCGCCCTGCCTGCCCGACCCACCCGGGCCGGCCTAGCCAATTGCGGCGGGTTTGAGAATTATTCGTGACATGACGAGCAGCTGCACGCCATCCAGCCGGCGTCCATTGCACCAGCGTGAAGCATCCAGCGTCCCCAGCTGCACTCCCAGATATGCTGCAGCCGCGGATATGTCGTTTCCAGCCCTCGCGACTGGGCCGGGCGCTGCTGTCTGCCCGCACCTACGCACAGGTCCAGGCCATCGACCTTAAACCTCCCCCAGCGATACAGCCTACCGTGGCTGCCGACGCCGGAGTACTGAAACAGGAAGGCTCGCGCAAGGAGAAGTTTATCCCTCTGCGCACATACAAGCCTCGCACGCCTGGTCTGCGCCATCTCAAGCGACCCGTCAACGACCACCTGTGGAAGGGACGACCGCACCTGAAGCTCACCATCGAACGGAAGGGGCAGCATCTCGGAGGAAGGAACAACACAGGACGGGTCACGGTCAGACACAGAGGTGGTGGCCACAAGAGGAGGATACGCATCGTCGACTACAAGCGATACCTACCCGGCAAGCATGTGGTGGAGCGGATAGAGTACGACCCCAACCGGAGCTCGCATCTGGCCCTCATCACCCGCGTGGCTACTGGAGAGAAGTCGTACATCATCGCCGCAGATGGCATGAGGGCGGGCGATGAGGTCGAGAGCTACAGGACAGGTATTCCCAAGGACCTGATTGACAGCATGGGTGGTGGCATTGATCCCGGTATGCTGGCCGCGAAGACAGCCGCACGTGGAAACTGCCTTCCTATCCACATGGTGCCCCTCGGTTCGCAGGTATACAACGTTGGTACCAAGACAAAAGGTGGGGGTGTCTTCTGTCGCAGTGCCGGTACATACGCCATCATCGTGAACAAGGAGGAGGTGGAAAAGGGCAACAACTCAGAGATCAAGCACGTTATCATCCGCTTGATGAGCGGTGAAATCCGCAAAGTCAGCGCAGACGCATGCTGCACTATTGGCGTTGCCAGCAACCCGCAATCACACTTCACATCACTCGGAAAGGCCGGACGTTCACGGTGGCTCGGAAAGCGACCAGAGGTCCGTGGTCTCGCCATGAACGCAGGTCAGTTCTCGAATCATTCACATCAGTTGCAGTCTTCTAACATGTCGCAGCCGATCATCCCCACGGTGGTGGTCGTGGTAAATCAAAGGGTAACGTGCACCCCGTCAGTCCGTGGGGCACTCCAGCAAAGGGAGGTTACAAAACGAGGCACAAGAGGAACAAGCACACATTCCTCGTCCAAGATAAACCCCGCAACCAAGGAAAGCGGAGGGCGAGGTAGGGTGGCCGCCGGTGTACTATATGCTCAAGATGCAGCTGTACCATATACTGTAGTCGCATGCCATGCCGTCTACCAATATACATCAGTACTCACCCAGTTGCGTTTCGACATGTTTGCACAACAGCAGCAAATGCATAATGTTAGCTGTGCTGTCTAGACTCCAGCTGGTCTGGCTACCCCAGTGCTTTACCGATACCCCATCATGCGCATCGCACAACCAAACGTGCATCCCCTGTTCAAGCAATTCGGCATCATCTGCTCGAATTTCGCCTTCATCAAATACTCGAGGCTCGGGGACTCTCTCGGTCGCATCTGAGGTCCTGACGTGTGCCAGCAGAGTCCAAGCTCGGGGGTCGGAACTTTGGACGTTGCGGCTCTTCTGCAATCTCACGACCACGGCTTCCTGGGCATGCATAGATCACTTGGCTGCTTGTGGCCTGGGCAGAACCAGATCTCCTGCCACGAGCTCATCAAGTCGTGTAATGAACAGTAGGTGGCATCATTATTTAACTTTGAGCATTCTTATCTCTGCGCGCACCGTTCAAGTACGTGAACTCATGATTACTACTGGTGTGACCGTTGACAGGCCGACACCTGGTCTCCATGTTTGGGTTGATGACACAAGACGCTGCGCGTAGATCGGTCGCATTTTGATCCATCTTGGGCTGGACTACTGCCCCACCATGCCGCTCTGGCGAAGCTGCATACAGCACCTTGCAGCCACGAAACAACCACATGTACAACAGGGCACGCAAAGAAACACCATGGGCTCCAGCGTAGCTATCAGGACCTAGAGAGCAAACTCTCTGTATCAGTAATCGTCTATGTAGCTGCGAACTTACGGTAGGGGGTCCTTGCTGGCAATCCCAAGACTCGGGAGATCCGCCATAATTAGTCCATATGCTCGACGTTGCACATCACCTCACGCTTAAGGCAACACGCATTGCGCGGACGGCCTTGCAGGTGAGACCAGGTACATGAGCGTAGCTCAGCCATGGCCTGTTCTACACCCAATAGCACATGCACTTCTAACATCCTACTCTGACACCCACCTTAGAGGCATAACGCGCTCTTAGTGCTGATCAACCGCTGGTGCCTACCCGCGCGCATTCGAGACTCCGAGGTCTTCACCGACACCGACGCTTAGAGCGACCGTTAAACTGCCGACGTAGCTTCGATTAAGATCTCGCAATCAACCGGAAATCGTGGCTTGACAGAGGACCCTCATCCGTTTGAGCCGTGCTTACGCGGGGGCGGTTCGTCTGAGCCAACGTGGATCCAAGACTCCTCCTGGACTGCCAAAGACCAGCAAGATTCGCCAACATGGCTTCCAACGGATCCGAATCGCCAGACGAGTCGTTCTTCAACGACCTCTCCCAACAAGCGCAAGACCCGAATGCTACCAACAGTCAGGAAACGCAACAGGATGGATCAAGCAAGGTCAAGAGGATTGCCTGTGTTCTGTGTAGGAAGCGGAAGTTGCGATGCGACGGCACCCGGCCAACATGTTCGACCTGTAAACGTCTGAACCACGATTGTGCATACGACGAAGTACGCAAGAAAAGTGGACCCAAGCGCGGCTACGTCAAGCTGCTCGAACAACGGCTGCGTAAGTTGCGCATACTTCTGCTGGTGGATGGTACTGACTCATGGGATACAGAGCAAGTCGAGACCCTCCTCAAGACACAAGACACGACCGACTCGAGCAAGGACGCCCCGCGCCAGGACGCCGCTTCCGCATACGTCGCGAACACTGTAAATCAATCGCTGCCGAATTCTGGAGATGTGCCCAACACAACAGGCCATATTGAAGCGGCCGGTCGGCCCGGGATTACTGGAGCAAGTCCATTTCAGAATGTCGGTATACCAGGGAACGACGCGGGGCGGGAGACCTCGTGGGAGATGATAGGGCTTGGGCTCGAGGAACCTTTACCTCCCCAAGAAATCATGGACGATTTGTACGAGCAGAACCTGGCCCGTAGCATGGTGGTTGCGCTGACGCTATTCCAGATATCAAATATACTTCTCCAAGATCCATCTCACACTGCCCGTCATACACAGACCACGGTTTATGGCCGCACTGAACCTTTCTCCTCAAGCGCGCCCGCCGGTTTGTTTGCGATACATCATGTGGACCCTAGCCGCTTCCATCACAGACAAGTACGAGGCGTTACAAGAACATTTCTATCAACGTGCTAGGAAATATGCGCAGATGGATGAGATGAGAGGCCACGGAGAGTCGACCATCACCCTTGCGCATTGCCAGACATGGGTTTTGATGGCTACGTACGAGTTCAGACAGATGTACTTCCCAAGAGCCTGGATGTCATCCGGGAGAGGTTCAAGACTAGCCCAGATGATGCAGCTGCATCGCCTGGACGGAGTTGGACTAGATGTAAAGCAATGCCTGGCTCCACCCAAGGATTGGACCGAGCGTGAGGAACGGCGGAGAACCTTTTGGCTAACCTTTTGCATTGATCGATACGCGAGTATTGGAACTGGCTGGCCCATGACCTACGATGAGAAAGACGTAAGGACAGACTTCTCGTGCTCATACTACTGCAAAGCCTGACTGTTTTCTTAGATCATGACAAACCTACCAGCAAGCGAAGAAGCATTTGAAAAGAGTAAACCGATGGATACTGGATCACTGGACCAAATCTTGAATCCTAATGGCGTGCAAAACCTTCAAGCACTCGGCGGTATCGTCCTGACAGCTGCGATGTTTGGCCGCAATTTGCTTCACTTACATCGACCAATGCCAGATGACAATGACGAAGACATCAATGGCGGCTTCTGGAACCGACATCGAAACATCGAGCGTATACTTCTGCAGACATCGCTGAGTCTGCCGGATAATATTCGTCTACCAACTGGTATAGCCGACCCCAACGTGGTGTTCACGAACATGTGCATACATACGTCGGCAATATGTCTTCACCAAGCAGCCATCTTCAAAGCAGACAAATACCGGCTACCAGCAAGTGTCAGCAATGAAAGCAAGATTCGGTGCGTAACAGCAGCAGCAGAGATTGCTTCTATCATGCGTATGATCAGTCATATGGACCTTGGTTCAGTAAGTCTTTAGTCACGGCCAACGATTGGCGTTTACTGATTTGAGCAGATGAACCCGTTTATATCCTTCTGTATTTACGTGGCAGCGAGGGTTTTCGTCCAGTACCTCAAGACGCGGCCAAAGGACCAACAGATGACCTCCTCGCTACAATTCCTCCTGCAGGCGATGGAAGCTCTTCGACGGAAGAACCCACTCACAGAGTCGTTCTTAGTGCAGTTAGATCTTGATCTAGAGGGTGCAGGTCTACAGGGCATGCGTCATCAGCCATACACGCAGCCTGCGCGCAAAGTGAGTCAAACCCCAGAGGTGCTCCAGGGACACAGTGAAACGATTGGGAGTCGATCAAGTCAGAGTTATCCCAAGTAAGTTACTAATTCCTGACCCATAGCCTACCATCATTTCGATCCATTCTGATCCGCAAATCAACTGCAGTCCGTTAATCAATATACGCGAACCGAATCAACCTGCCACAGCCGCCAACACGTTTGGAAACGGCAATCCGATCACGCCGGCACCGACTTCCAATACGCAATACTCGAGCAACATACCTGGTCCGCCATTTCATCTCCACAACATCAATAGTATCGACATGAGCGCGCAGAACCAGGCCTACTTACCGTCTCAATTTGAGTCGAACAGAGGTTTCGGCACCACTGCAGCTCAAGCGTTCACGCCCGCCGGCGGTTTCGCTTTCCACGATAATGAGATGGACCTCTCCGGAGGTGATAGAGACGTCGACCGGCCTAGCCCAGCAACAATGAGCTCACAATCAAGAGGTGGCTCAACATCGCAATCTTCTTACTCGCCAGGCCAGCCACTCGAACACAACATCCCATACCGGGCATCTCCAAAGATGACAGGACCAGGCTCCGGCACCGTCTTTCCAGACCTCGCAGCTAATGGCGGAACGTTTCCAACAAATGGCTTCAATCTACCCAACAACATGGGCAATGAAGCTTATACTGATGGCTTTGTAATGGGTAACGAATGGGAATATGCAGCTTTGAACGCGGGAACAGGCCTGACGCCCATGGCAGACGCGTCCTGGGATTCGATGTTGGAAAGCGTTACGATGGGATGGGATTCAGTTGGCCCTGGGCATGAGAATCAACCGAAAGCTGCCGGGATATGATGGGATTTGTTGTTTGGGGGATGTGTACATTGAAATAGCAGGATACCCACTTTCGCTTTAGTTGGATTTGGTGTTAAGGCTGATGACATGGGTGGGCTCGACTTTTAGGTCACGCACACATTGGCTTCGCGTGCTTTCTGGTAAATCGCCTGCCGACGGTTTTAGATGACGTAGTGCTATCTACGCATTATAGAGGGCGGATAGAACGAACGTTGTATACTATCATGTAAAAACAACACTGCAACTGGCATACCCAGGTATCATCCTGGGTCCTTGTGACATTCCCCCGGATCCGTGCACGCGGCTAGACATGTACATCGACGGAACCACCTCGGATCGAAATTGCGAACGCGTTGACAGATGTCATTATCGAGGCGAACTCGTTGTTTTTGAAGCTAACATATCATATCGATTGCAATCGATACTTAGCCATGCTCTCGATGAAAGGACCCTGAAGATCCGGGGATAATGAGGCTTGCAGGGATGGGGGCGGTCTGCGTCACACCTGCAGTTGCTGGGCAACCGGATCGAGAAGCTACGTGCAGCATCGCAACCACATCACCACCGCTTTTTCGCTGCGTCGGGTCGTACAATTAATCTTCACTTCTTCACATATCGTTCTCTATCCCTGTTTCTCTGGGCAAAAACGCTGGCACTCCCGACTGGTGCACCGACAACCGTACAGCAAACAGAGCAGTAAACACCGAGGCCGACGTATATTCGCGATGTTCACGTCGAAGGAGAGGGAAGGTGCTGCGTCACCAGGGCCTGGAGCCTACTATTCGCCGTCCCAAATGAGTAAGAAATATAGCGATGCCTTCGCACCTGCCATACTGACGATTGGCATAGAGAGCTATCTTCAAGACCTTCGCACAAACCGCCCCGCTCGTCCCACCGGAGCTCGACCTGCTCCTGCACACTTCAACACATGGTCGAATAGATCCAGCAACCGAATGTCCGACTCGACTGCCATCTCCTCCCTACAGCGTACTTTCACAGACCCTGTCGTCGACGCCGATGCACGTCCCGCTTCCTCGCACGAACCGAAGTCGCATACCCGAACAACCTCCAAAGCGAGCCTAGATGGAGTCGTAGCCAGTGTTGGAAGGCCACTAGTGCAGCCACCACGCGGGCGGGAGACATCACGATCTTCGTCACGATCGCGCACACCCAGCGTGCAATACCGCGAGAGGGAACAGCGCCAGGCAGAGCAGGACGAGGCACGGGCTATACGCGTGGCCATGGAGGACTTGGAACTTGCAAAGGAGGAGGGCAAGATATTCGAGGCCGCACGAGATGAAGCCGTCGAATTGGTCTGGAAGCATTGCAATCCCCATGCGGCCGCGGCCAGTCCGACCAAACCGTATGCATACCCGGGTCTGGCCAGGAAGAACAGCGCGCAGAGGAGTCGGAGCGTCGAGCCGAAGGATCAGGATCTGCAACGGGCCAATTCTAAACTGCGGAAGCGACATTCGATGGGGAGTGCCGCGTCAGGGAGCCGGAGTAGCAGCTTGCAGAGCAACGGCCGCGCAGGCGATGCCGATACATCAGCTGCTGGAATCGCGTCGCCTACCAAGAGCAGCTTTGGCATTATCAAGGGTAAGAACGGCGAGTCACCAGCATTAGCCAAAGCCATCTCAGACCTTCCAGACTTCAAGCAACGACGAAGAAGCAGCGGACCCCGTCGAACCATCAGCGGTAGTCTTTTCTCCAACCCGAACGACCAGATATACGAAGAACCCGAAGAGGAAGCACCGCCTGCTCCTAAACCCACCCCCGCCGCCGAACCACCCAAGACCGAAAAACTACCACTAGGCATACGGCGCAATCCCTTTATGCGTTTCCAATCAATCAAGGGGAACCCACTGGTGAGGTCCAGCACGGATCCTGCCATCGCGACGAAGCGTTTCGACCGCTATGAGATACAGAAGAACCCACCGACCCAATCGAGAAATGCAGCGTATACCCTGAACTCGGCAGAATCGAAGCCAGCAGAAGATGTCAAGGCGGACGTGGAGAATGTTCCCGAGGTGAAGATGAAGGATGGCAAGGAGATCAGGAGCGACGAGCTGCGTGCTGCTACAGGCTTTCGTCTAAAGGACCGTAGTGCGAAGCTACCTACTCCTACAGCTGTCTCAGATGCTCCAGGACGACCGATCGTTTCTTTCCAGAAGAACTGGAATGTGATTGAAATGAAGGAAGAGATATCTGCTGCACCCGATCTGGCACCAAAACCTTTGAACACAACCAAATCTGGCCCGCCGCCACTGGAGCACGCCGCAACTGAGCCTGTCGTACCTACTATCAGTCTCGCACCAGAAGTGCCCAAACGAAACATCACCCCAAGACCGCAAGTTCCAGAGATCAACGTTCCTTCCGAGCCTAAAACCAGCCTCGCACCGGACGTACCAGAACGAAGCACAACTCCAAGACCGCCTGTGGCTCCAGAGGCTAACAGCTCGTCTGGTTCCGCGCCCGCACCCGGACGGTTCAACCTGAAAAACAAACCTACCATCAACATCTACGAGGACCCTCCAGCCCAAACGAGACCTCTGCCGCTCACCAGCTCGCTAAGGAAAGCCAATATACCAACTCGTCCTTCTGCTGCTCCTCTGCCTAGTATCAATGTATCTGACTCAGCGCCTGCGCGTTCGAGGACGACACCAGCGCCGCCAGTTCCTTCTATTTCCGTGTCCGAGACCCCGTCGATTTCGGCCAGGAAGAACATGTTCAACCGTGGCCCCTACGTTCCGCCAACGAGTGCTACGCCGCCTATTCCCAGCATATCAGTCAGCGAGACTCCAACACCGAGACGAGGCTCTACAACACCTTCAATCTCTGTAACACCGGAAGTCCCTTCGATATCCGTTAGCGAATCACCGGCGCCAAACCGTGGATCAAGAGGCAACGCTCCACCAATTCCCAGCATCTCTGTGAGCGAGACGCCCGCGCTGAGAAGGGGAGCGACTGCACCATCTATCAACGTGACTCCTGACATTCCGACCATATCCGTCAATGAGACCCCAGCTCCGACTCGCGGACGCAACAGCAATGTACCTTCGATCAACGTCAACCCTTCAGTGCCTTCGATCAACGTCAACACACCCAAAGGCTTCGGCCCAGCCGCGTCAACACGACCACTGCCAGTTCCAAACGCCCAAAACAAGTCTCACAGCTACAACGGCACAGCCACCCCTCGCACCCACTGGACCCCAACCACCGTCCGCACCGGCGCTCTCTGCGCCCAATGCGCCCTCCCCATCGCCGGCCGCATCGTCTCCGCCTCTGGCGCGCGCTTCCACCCGGAATGCTTCGCCTGCTACCAATGCGGCGAGCACCTCGAATGCGTAGCCTTCTACCCGGAACCCTCCAACAAACACGCCGAACGCGTCTCGCGCATCCGCGCCCGCCTCTCCGGCGCCGACATCCCGTACCTGCCTTCGCACCCCACCGCAGACTCCATGGCGCGCCTCGAGCACGACGACGGCACAGACGAAACGCCCCGCTTCTACTGCCACCTCGATTTCCACGAGCTGTTCTCGCCCCGCTGCAAGAGCTGCAAGACGCCTATTGAAGGCGAGGTTATTGTGGCTTGTGGTGCGGAGTGGCACGCTGGTCACTTTTTCTGTGCTCAGTGTGGCGATCCGTTTGATAGCAACACGCCGTTTGTAGAGAAGGATGGGTATGCTTGGTGTGTTAATTGTCATACGCATCGGTATAGTACGAAGTGTAAGGGGTGTAGGAAACCGGTTACCGATACGGTTGTCAAGGCACTGGGGGCGGAGTGGCATGTGGGGTGCTTTGTTTGCGTTGTAAGTCTTGCCGGTCTTGTTCTTAGTGTGAAGTGACGTTTTTGCTAACTTGTGTGGTAGTGCTGCTCTGGTCCGTTTGAAGATGGGAGGTATTTCCTTCGCGGGGAGAGTCAGGATCCGGTTTGTGTTAGGTGTGAGGAGAGGAGGTTGAAGGCTTGATCGCGGCGACTTTGACTGTGTCTCTTTGCGTCTGCCGCTGCTGTTGTGAGTGACAATCTACTGTTGAGCGTGTTTGCATATTGTTCGCATACATTGGTGTTTTGGATAAAGAGAATGGCGCTGTCTGGGCGTTTTGGGTAGCATGAAGGTAGTTGGGGAGTCGTAATACGAGAATGATGTTTACAAGTCTTGTTAGAACTGGACATGCTGGGTGGGGTATGCATGAAATCGTGACTTTCGTGGAACGGGTCAACATCTCTGACACTTATCCAGTCTCAGTAACATACACAGTAGTCTCCTACTATAATCGAAACTGGGGGCACACGTCGTGTTCTCACGGCTGCGTGACGTCATTGTGTTCACTCCGGGGAGGCAGGAGCCTAGCGCTGGTTGACCACCCGACTTTCTTCTTACAAACACCGACTTGCGCAGCTCTTCCAACACGGCAATAAGGTCACTAACTTCTATTATCACACATCAAATTGCTTATCATTGTGCGCAAAAACTTGGAAGGACGACCGTTGCATGATTGCATCTCCTCCCCGCACCTGCCATCCGGATGTCGCGACGCACATGGACGTCCCCACCAATCGAGCCGCGCTACCTTAGATGAAGGATATTTGCGCTGAGAAGCCATGGTATGGCGTAGCTACATTCGTATAGGCGTTGCGGTCTACCTTTCCGTATATTCGCCTTCCAAGATGTATGAAATCGGAATAGGCGATGCCGGGCTCTGTTTCATGGACCATCTCCCAATTCTGGTGGTGGCTGGCTGAATAATAGTCATATCGGCAGACTTCGCGATAAGTATGCACTGAGGTATTGGATACATACGTGGCACCACATCAACGCCTAGAAGTCCAGACGAGCCTTTTGCGTGAAGTTGTATAAACTCAACTGCTCATTTGCCAGATCTGCTTACAGCGTTGTGACTGACTGGGATTAGAACAGGAAAGAGGGGTAGTAGCAAGGCTGTATGCATAGCATAAGAAGATTTGGTAATGTTGCTTTCTCATTTTTATCCCCTCGCTCACTTGACATCTATAGATCAGGAAGTAATTGTTATCAACGCCTTTCGCTCCCTAACAACACTCGGACGATGAGTGAAAAGAAGACGGTTGCGAACCCTCCTATGAAGATATTTGTCTTCTGCGATGGAACAGGACAGAACGCGGTTCGGAACAAGGAACCTACGCAGGACACGAATGTTCATCGATTCAGGCAATGTGTACCTGAGTCGGCTTTCGTGAAGCACATATATCAATCGGGTGTAGGGACCCATGCGCGTGAGGGTGCCAGTGCAATCGGCTTTGCCAATATAGCGGATTTAGGCGATCAAGCTACAGGCAAAGGTGAGTGGATCTAAGGTTCCGCTTCATAAGCACAAGTTTTGCGTCTCGAAACAACAAGTAACAGAAACCTGTAGATCTTCACTCTATCATCCATACATTGTACAACGAGCTCTGCGAAAAATACGAGAAGAATCGAGACGCAGAGATTCACTTGATTGGGTTCTCAAGAGGCGCCTTCGCAGTTCGTTGTCTGGCCTGCCTAATCGATAAGGTAGGCTTGCTCAAAGCGAACTACCGGACGAAGTACTACCCGCATGTTTACGAAATCTGGCAATCGCAGGACGAAAGCAGATTCAACAAATGGGCCACGGGAAAGGGGTGGTACCAGTCCATTTATCCAGTGCGAATTGCCAGCTGTGGAGTCTGGGATACCGTGTCCGCCATCAAAAAATCGCCGGCCCTTTCGTTCGTGGGTGATTGGGCTCCCAGCAATCTGAATTTCGCGTTCCAGGCGCTAGCACTTCATGAGAGAAGAGAGATATATAACCCGCTACTTTGGAAACACAAACCTGGCGGCATGACATGCATTCGTCAGTGCTGGTTTGTTGGGGATCACTCTGACAATGGGGGCAGCTGGTACGACTGTGGACTGGCAAATCTGACGTTGATCTGGATGTTGGCTCAGTATAAGAAAAATTTCACGGGTGACTTCATCGATTGCGACCGCTTATATGAGCGTCTTTGTCCGCCCGGTGCTGGATGGCCCTCATTGAGTCACACGCTAAGTCAAGGTATCTACCCCAAAGTTGCGCGCAAGCTAGGCAATGACAGTGCTGACGTTCGTCTATAGGTAATGTGCATCACTCTTGGATCGGGGCGAAAGTACCTCGAGGCATTCAAGCTCGGGAACACCTTCTGGGACTAGATTCTGGAAGAGACGGTAACGACCCAGCCCCACTGTATCACCAACAGAGGATACACTTCACGGTTCGGCTCTTCCTAGCTAAGAGTCGACAAGAGGTTACAAAACGCACTTGCCTAGTCACAGCTGGCTCTACCAGACCTACACATCCTGATGACGCTAATCAGCGGTCTGTGACCTGGGTGTTGGAGAAGACAGGAAAAAACGAGCGAGGGAAAGGAGGGGATAAGGGGCAGAAGAAGAACGAGAGAAAGACTGCGAAGAAGGGTGAGGGGAAGAGTGAGAAGAAGGGCGAGGAGAAGAAGGGCGAGGAGAAGAATGAGAAGAAAGGCGAGGCAAAGAATGAGAAGAAAAGCGAGGCAAAGAAGAAGAATGATAGCAATGATATTCTAACTATTGTAGAGGATGAAACGACCGAGTGGGAAAACGACGTCATCTTCGAATGGACCAAGAAAGCGCAGAAGCTGGTTAAGAGAGAAGCCAACAACATCTTCCGCAAGGGTGTCGAGACACATGGAATGACTGTCGGCCATCTCGTTCGTGGACTCAAGAATTCCAGCAAGCTTCCCAACCTTACCGTCGAACAACTCATTAGTAAAAACAAGACTCTCACTGTCGAGAAGGCGCGCGATATCATCATCGACCAGGCGTGGGAATGGAGCCTAGAACACTTTCTCCGCAAGAACAAAAACCAAGGGACTTGCGAAGCGGCAGATAAGGTTCATTACACTCCACCCAAAACCGTTGTCGTGGGAGTTCGTAAAAGGAGCTCATCGCAAGAACCAACACCAACGGGAACGATAGTCGGATCCGACGAACGAAATGAAGGGCGAAGGCGATCATTCGACCTATCCAGAGACGTGATTTCGTTCCCCGATCAAACGATCTTCAGTGAAACACCCTAGAATAGCTCGGCTTAGGCTGTACTCACAAGGCTCGAAGATGCCAACTATATTGTTTTGTTCATGTTTAGGATTTATGTTTTCGAAGCACATTCCAGTATCAGCTTTTCTTAGAATATATCGTTAGCACCGCTACCACTAAAAGGGCTTTGCTCGATTGTTTGCGTTAGTTGGTACACATCCACGGTTCAGGTTCATGCCTAGTTCTTCTCGGTACCAACCGCCACGTTACGAAAGAGTCATACACTCCTACCAAAATATGACTGCACGCCTTTCGTAACCTGACTCCTGGACTACTACATCCTCTTTTGATCTAAAGTCACACGCGCGCAAGCAGTCATGTCTCCATCAACGTCTTCGTTCAAACTACCGAGTTCAAAACGGACCAGGACTCTCATATCCCTTGAAGACGAGCAAGATTTCCTCACTACGCGGGTATGGTGTACTAGAAGGTATATGAAGAAGCTAGGCGAAGAACTAAACTACGAAAATATGAGCAGTACGAAGTACTGGGAGAAGGCAACGGAATACACCGTTTTGGGTCGGGAGTTATCGTTATACCAGCTCCAGAGAGCAAAAGTCGACCATCGTATCGCTCGTAAAAGAAAAGAATTCCGGTCTAAGGTAAAATTCATGAGAACGGATAAAGCACGGTTATTCAGGGAGAGTATGATGGCTTGGGATTTGAAAGGGAAAATCTATGAGCGACGACGTGCTACAGCAGCAGAAGCAGTCGAGACAGAAGAAAGCAGTACACTGAAATTGCTCATACCAGTTTGTGCCATGCCCCCATCGCGGTTCAATATAGAAGCCACCTTCGCGCCCCACGGGTTCAGAAACTCCATCATCGCAGACCAAGGAATGGTAGATCCCAGGGAAAAAGACAACCGCAGGTACTGGAGTTATCTTTGGAACATATTCTCCGGGGCCTACGAATACGGAGGCTATCGGCGGTTTGAAGCTCTACCTGTTTTCGCGTCTCAGTCCAACCCAGACCTAGCCACCGCACTCTTCGGGTCCAGCAAAATCGACTCCTCTCCCTCCCTCTTCTCATCATTCAACGGACTTCTCCTACCCGATTACATGGGAGCACGCTTCGACAGTGGTATCATGGCCATTGTTCCCGATATCTCCTCTCCCACCTCCCCCGCCGAAATAGCATTGTGGAAGGATACCGCGCCAAGAGAATACAAACTCAAGATCTTCACGCAGAACCGTGAGACCGAACAGACAGGTGGGCTGATGCAAGATATCAATTCCTTTACAAACGCCCGTAGGCCAGTTCCACTCCGCAATATTGACGGGTCGAAAGTAGGATTTCCTGTTTCTAGTCGGGAGGGTAGACCGAGGGAGTGTTATTTATTTTTCCACTATTGTGTGCAGATACTGCGGCAGGCTTGGAAGGGGATTCCTATAGTAGACGGGGAAAAACCTGGGTCCGATTGGGGTGCTGTGGGGAAATATGTTGACCGTGAGCAGATGCGTGCGGTTATTGATGAACTTGGGGGTGAGTATGAGGGCTTGATGGGGTGTGCGGGGGATGGCGTTGGCGATGGTGGAGGGGATCGGTACATGCTCCTTGAGGCACTAGCTGAGCAGGTTATCGTCAGTAATCAGATGAACGGGAGGAGGGATGAGTTGTATGGCGATGAGGAAGACGAGGATAGCGATGAACACGACTGCGACGACGATTGGTGTCCCATGAAGACGCCTTATTATAACCCAACTGATATAGCGAATACGTCGTATCGTTTAGACGAATAGTTTAGTGAGAGGACTGGATCTATATCTTACTTGCGATGTGAGGAGATGCATAAGATACCCCTTCGCATACCGCCCCATAACGCATGACATGACCTGGACATTTCACTGTACAATATACTCAATTTTCCATTCTCAATGGTACATCTAATAATACAAAAGGGCCTTTCAATCAATCCATCGCCCCGAGTCAAACAAAGCTATAAGCCGCAAGAAAACCACGCTCAAAACCAAGCAAAAATACTCCATGCATGCAACCGTCTTTTCATGACCCACACCAATGCTTTCTTGCCAGAGAAAAACATCGTCCCGTCGACATGCCCCAACCCCACCCACTCCATATACCCTAATTATGCAAGAGATGGACCTGAGCCAGACTTGTTCTGAATTGTCTAGTTGACGTGTTGCCCTTGATACCCAAAAACGCCGCAACGGTTGCTGAAAGAAAAACAGGGGATAGCAGGCAAAACGAAACAGGGTGTAAAGGGTTGACGTAGCCTTGCTGAAACAAGAGGCCTATCCTTTTGGCCATGAGAGAAAGTGCAGAACCTCCGACCTGAAATTGCATCGGGTGCATCAGAGGCTCACTGACTGCTTCCATGATCATATCCGTTCGAACCATTTGTTACGTCAAGAATCCTATTCGGCGCCGGACTCGACTTCTTGACGGGCGGATCAAGGATGGTCGGACTGGAAAGCGGTTCCAGGCTCTTGACGGGCGGGAAGATAGGCGTCTCGGACATTTGATGGCTTGATACCGGGCGCATGGCGTCATGTTTTGAGGGCGCGGGAATGGGGTCTGGGAGCATCTGCGCGGGCATTTGGGACGATGGTGATGGAGCTATGCGCATTGGTGCTGGGGCCGGGGAGGACATGTTTGCTGGGAGGGGCGCGGGCGAACTGTGTTTGGTCGGGGAGAAGGAGGGGCGGTTGGCGGAGCTGGGTGGGAAGGAGGAGTGCGGGCTGTTGAAGTTGAAGCTTGGTGGTAGGCCGTTGGTTGGACGGGGGGAGGCGGCTGGTGAGTGCTTTACTGGTGAGCCGCCTGGGCCTGCTGCTGATGCTGGGCGACTGAAGCTCCGCGCATACGGTGCTGCGGGTTGTGGTGGGCCGAATGGATTCGAGTTGAAGGGGTTGGGACCGCCGAAAGAGCTGCCGTTCTGCTGTGGCTGTGGCATGTGGAAGCTTTTTGTTGGGCTGCTCGGTATCCGTTCGAGGTTGTACGGTGGAGGTGACGATGTTGGACCGTTGCCAGTTCTGTGCCCAGGAGACGAGAAGTGAGATCGTATTGGCGATGACATGCTACCGTTCGCGCCCTTGGTGGGTGATCCATATGCGGCTTCCGATCTTTGTATGCCAGGTGGACCTAGAGCTTGACCACGGGGAGAGAGACTCGGGCCATCGACCCATGGCTGTGCGGGATGCATGGAGGGCTGGAAAGCTTGTGGTCGTGGTAGTTGTACTGCGTCAAACAAGTTCGTTGACATAGAGGGGCCGTTGCCATTTGCTTCTGCTTGGTTTCGTGGTGACTGAGATGTCAATCGTAGCTTGAGAGAAGGGAGTTTCGGCTCGTCCGCCTCTCCCTCTTTACGCTTGCAGGCAGTGCAAACAAACGTAAACTTCGAATCGTCGGCCTGTTCTTCTGTGATGTCATGGCACTTCATGTGTTGCCAGACATTGCACTTCTCACACGATATTTGTGGGGTGTTGTCGTTCTACTAAAGTCAGCGGAATGCATGGTCGATGTGCAGTAATACTCACCAGGTTGGAGCCGTAAGTGCCGCACTTCTCGCAGTCAAAGAACCAATCTTCCTCCTCGTTAAGCCTCTTGAGATCACTCTCATGCTTCTTCATCATGGCTTTCAGGTGTCGCTCCGATAGCCTGGCATTGTTTGAGGCCAGCTTCTGTTCGTTCTCGTGCAGTTTACGCAGCTCCTCTTCTTTCAGAATCTTTGCCGTCTCGCGCTCCTTCAGCCGTTGCTCACGAGTCATCCTGCGAGAATCCTGTGCCTCCTCCATCTTCTTTTGCTTCTCTTGCTCCGCCTTGGCCATCGCAAGTTCTTCCTGCCTCTTACGTTCCGCAGCCTCGGCTTCTTCAACCTCCTTCTGTTTCTCGAGTCGCGACGAGATTCGGGACGAGCGCTTCGCTGTAGCAAGCTTCTGCATGTTCTCCAACTCCTTCATCTTGCGGGCCTGCTTCTTTGCTTGCTCCTCTGCCAGCCCCTCCATGACAGGCATAACGTCTTCCTGAAGGCGTTTGTATAGAACCTTTTCGTTTGGATCGCGACTCTTCCGGATGCTGCTCATGTATTCCTGGTAGTCTTCCAAGGTGACGCAAATGCACTCCCACTTCTTGCCGCCGAGACCGTCGTCAATCTCTTGAGGCTGTTGCTCTTCAGTTGCTTGCTCCTCCTCCTCAGCTTCTTCGGGTTCGGGAGTGGACGCCTTTTGTCGCTTGCTGGCTCTTGAACCTCTCGATTTCTTGGGCTTTGGTTTGGATTTGGCCTTGGCTTTCGTAGGTTCGGGAGGAGGTGGTGGATCGGTCATTCGGTACATGCGGTTGTCGTCGAGAACGAATAGCGATCGCTCTTGCGAGTCCCAGCCCGTGGGCTCCATACGCTGTGGCATGTTAGTCGTTGCCCTGCACCAATCCCAGTGATGCTTACCCATAGTGTCTGCTCGCTATCCGTCGCTCCAATCTTCTCTCTTATTGTGTTCGGGTTGTTGAGCGTCCATACGGAAAGTTGTTGCAAGACGCGTATTTTGGTGAAGACGTCGAAGTCGTGGAACTTGTTGGGCTCCTCTTCCTCGCCAAAGGGGTTTCGGGCGGGCGCTTTCGCGACATACTGTCGGCGGGTGTATTCATCGAAGATTTCGGGTCTACCATCATGTCAGTACTATCGAGACTATGCGCAATGGCCAGGTCTTACGTCAAGCCCTTGTGTGACGATACGTGCTTCAGCAGCGCTAGGCCAATTTGTGCGAGTTTGTCGGATGGCTGTGGTTGGAGACATTCGGATTCCAATTCCTGCACGTGTGTCAGCTCGTGGTCCTTGTAAAACATATGCGCGCCGGGCTGGGATGCCAGGCGCAAAGGGCATGTACCTCGATGTCAAAGTCCTTGTCGATTTTGACCGCGTCACCGAAGAGACTGATGTACTGGGCCAGATTTGCAAACTGCCACATGTTGCGCAGTTTTTGCAGTGTGCTGGGCTCTTCAACAGGCGCCTCGGCCTCCATTTCGTCGGCGGCGCGTTTTCGAGACGGCATGGCTGCGGTGCCTCGCGTGCGGCGACGCGTGTGAGTTACGTGTGGATATGGTGTAGAGGCCAGAAATGGTGGCTAGCAAATGCGCGTTGTGAGATGGCGATGGGTAATGCTGTCGTGGTGTCGGCGGGCTCGTGGGTAGGGCGATGATGCGAGTGCCGATGTCCCTTTTTGGTGATGTGAGTGATGAATGTCGCGCGTCGATTGTCGGCGAGTCCGGGGGAGGCCCAAAGCGGTAAGGCGCCATCGGCCCAGCCTTGCACATGCAATCTGGCAGAGACAGAACACTCATGACGATGACGAAGAACGCAGACAGCGGCTTTGCTTGTACTACACAGGCAGAGCTATCGCAATGGCAATGGCATATCGAGTGCATGGCATGAATGTAGCTGCTTACTAAGACCAGTCCCTATAAACCTTAATGCACCCGTCTTACAGGATATGCGCACTCCAAGAGTATCGGTCTTTCGTGACAGAATGGACAATTCGACCGGCTGTCGGTTGGGACTCCACCAAGCCACCGAAATTATCATCGTCACGGCCATGATGACAGGAGGTGATGATATAAGGCCGCGTGGCTCACGCAAGTGCACAAGCCACAGCTCCACCAAGTGTGGCTCATTGCCGGAGGATTCCACGCCAGGGGCCAGAGACGTTGCATGGTAAGCCGTCAGCAGTTTCGGATTCCTGGGTGGTGTTGGTTACTCATGCTGTATGGTGGTTCGCTCTGACTTGGAGAGCAAATGCCGTATAAATAATCGCATAACAGATTCATGTTCTTCGTAATGGCACCGTCTACAGGATAGCGATGACACATGCCAAACACGACAAGTACCGTAGACGTTAAACTAAAATTAACCCTCAGCCCTAGCCTAAGCCGCGCATCCTGGTCGCTCACTACACCCTTGTCCGTGCTTGGGAATCCGCATCCATCCCGCATTTCAACCAACTCTTTCCCACCAAACACACCACACGCGCCCTTTGGACTGCTACGCGCCACCTACCGCTCTCGCCATCGCTGCCACGCTCTCTCTACGCTACGACACTCGCTTACGTTTGTTCTGACGCCTGCATGATCGCGCAATAGCATTCTGGGAGAGCTAGTTGGTTCAGATGCTGGGTTGAACGCCGCATATCAGACAGGACGTCCCGATGTCCTACCCGGATCCCAACCACGGCCGAAGTCACCCCCACCAATCAATACCTCTGCAAGACCTCAATCGCCCACCCGACGCCTTCGAAGAAGATGCGTCGCAAGAACACCGCCGGACGCTCAGCGACCGCGGGCGC